CCACATTATACGTTTTATTGACAAAATTCATTCCAAGTATGGAATGTGACTCTTGTGTTCGGCATGACCTGGTACTGAATAAGCCAAAATTTCCTCAGGGTGAACTGCATGGAAGTAAATTTAGTGAAAGAATGAAGAATGGCAATGGAAACTCAGGGCTTTTTGTCTTGACGGTGGTGAGAATGATTGAAAGTTGTTTTAGTGGTACCTCAACTCCTCCCTGCTCTTTCCTTCTTCTGCACCAGTAACAGAGGTTTTGTTCTTGCACGATTAATAAGAAAAAGAGAATTTCCTGCTTCGCATTAATATTTCATGGATTATAAAACAGAACTCGTATTATTTAATATTTTAGTTACGCTTTTTCTGTTTACGCTTTAAACAAGTTTATATAATTTGATTATAAAACTGAGTGATTATCAATTATTTAACTATTTTATCTTTTTTCTAGACTAAGTAAGGTAAAGTTCACGTGACAGTGAGTCATTATAGCCTGGAGAATAAAGGTTGCCACTTGCAAAATGTCCTGCTATTGTACATGCGCTTTTGCTTTCCACTTTTACGGAGGCGTGCATATCAAAAAGCGCCCAAAGTACGATTAGCATCAGTATGCCATAGTTGAAATTTGCGCATTAACAGTAGCATCAAAGGCGGTGAAAGAGTCTGAGGCAAGAAAAGTAAGGAAGTAAGAAAGATACATTCGTGGCGTGCCAAGTATGTCGTCGTCTGGAGGAACACTGCACACTGCCACTACTATCAGTTGACTGTATTATGCTGGTTGATTGTTGATCCTTATCGCTGATACTGTTGTCTACGGATGAGCTTTCTGGACGATCCGGGCTTGCACTCGCCTGTGAGAGAACCATTTACAGTCGTTTGCAATTATAAAATGAAATAGAAAATGTATTCCTGACGGGCTCGGTGTAATAGCTAGCGGCCCTACTTCAGGCTAGACTAGATAGTCTGCCAACTAAAAAACTGATCGCTGTACGACACACTGATTCGTTTCGTTAGTAAACTGGTAGTGGCGAATGCCAACAGGCCAAAACTTTTGTGCCGCTTGCTCCTAATTGCTTCGTGATTCAACAATCTTCCAGCATATGGCAGTCTATCACTAACAAAAGACGCAAGGCAGTCGATGTTT